CTCGCCAGGTTTACCACCTGGTGAGACAGTGTATTTTTACAGCTTAGTTTTTCTGATAGTCAGTATTAGTAATAACTAGGTCCCATACTGGTAAGAACCAAAAATACGTACGACCTGGCGACCTGGGGACCTACACACCCGGAGAGAGAGGGGGGGGGGAACAAAAGTACACTGCATATGCATTGCATGTGGACAAGCAAGGGCGGGGAACCATAATTATCCGTTGGGAACTGAAGGCATCATGATTAGTTAGAGTGCCAGGGTGGTGGGTGAGTCATGAGTAGTACTAATATGTAGTTATATGTAGGTCTAGTTAGGTAGTATCTAATAGTAGTATCTGTATATATACACTGGGGTGTACAGAAACGCGAACAGAGAACAGGCATGTATCTATAATAGGTATGCTTTTGGCTTTTTGTGGAAGGGGCAGCAAAACGTAGAACTTCAAGTAGGATAAATGAATGAAGAACCATGCCTTGGGGTATAAGACTGAACAGAACACCAGGAAGCGCCCTTGCAATGGTTTCGTTTCCCTTTTCGCTTGGTAACCCACTTTTGCTTTCAACAATCGTAACTCTTTTTCTGCTTCATGCTCCCCCTCTTTCCCCTGTCTTTGCATCCACAGACTTTCCCCTCTCCAGTCATTAGACGGTGCAACCCAACGGTTACTTTTGGTGCCAAGGACAATGACGCAAGGAATGCATCGCCGGCAGAGAGAACACACAAAGGAGATGCTGGGCAGTGTACAGCATTATCAATACATGTTGGCGCGAACAAGTATTTAACAACAGGGGAAGAGGGTACATATGCAGAGAGATCAAACATTAAGGAACGGACTGCACTCTGCGAGTCAGTAGTCGCAGGTGCACAGGTCATCAGTCATCATTATGCAATCACAGATCATGAACAGAAACAGGGAATAAAACAAAAGATAAAAACATATCCGTCGAAACGTGTATACTATAGGAGAGGCATAAGTCATCACTCGCTGAATCAATCGTTCGAGAGGCGTTAAGTAAAAGTCGTAAGATGGTATACATCGTAAGCCTCCCGCAGTCTGTCTATGGTCATTAATTGTTTCCATGTTCGTGTCAAGGCAGTCAAATCAGGACCGAATAACGAGATCCTGGAAGAACTTGACAAAGTTGCGTTTCAACGAACGGGTGCGACATAGTCCAGATCCATTCGCTGCTGGAGCGATTTTCATAGGACCCACAATCTCGCCATCGCCTAGCTCGGGGAACTTGTTGTCGTGAAGGCGAGGGATTTTGACCGGGTCGCAAGGGTCACAGTGGGACTTCATCAAACTAAGACGGGGTCCCTCAGTCACTTCTAGCTCAGATAGCATCGCTTCATGATGGCGGCGCCATTCGCGATTGATGGACTCCCACTTCTCTTCGGTGAGCTTGTAGATCGTGGAAGTAACCCCATAATGTTCGCCAGTCCGCACGAGATGGCGCATGAAGTTGCACTGAGCCAGGTCCCAATCTGCGCGCAGCTGCCCAAACGTTCCCAGGTCACAGGTCTCGGGTACATAAGGCTCCGGCTGGATGGTAAAGTTGGCATGACCGAGTCTGTTCGCCCACTCGTCATTTGGGTCGGAGAGCGTGAATGGAGGCGCATCTCCCGAAACAGTCCGCACTGTACTGGCTCGTGGACGATTGAACGATGCGACAGATGGCTTGGACGAGAGGGGTGGTGAAGGTAATCCTGCTAATCGCAGATCGGCGACAGCGCTGCAGACAACTGGGCCGTCATCTACCATATTGTCGGCTACTGAAGGGGATTGTAACGGAGAATGGACGCGAGACGCGGTCTGGTAGGATGATTCGTCGCCCATGAACGGTGGCAGTAGGGGAGTCGTTGCTTGAGGGGCCGAATCCTCTTCCTGGCTGTACCGGTTGGCTTTGCTGATATCAATAGGTTGCGTACCGGCTTCGCTGATGGCCTCCTCAAAGATAGTCCTGGCGGGTGATGGAGGAACCTGGATCGAATTGACGCGAGTGAAAGAACCCGTAGTGGGACTGGCTATGGCGGATGATGCTGAATTAGTGCGGGAACGCAGCTGTGTTGCGAATACATCTGCACCGTCCGGGCCATCGGAGGCACGTTTGGACTTCCAGCGAGTGGAGATGGTGGAGATTCGGGAGCCGATGCGCGAAAGACCCCGAGCGGAGATACTATCAGAGCATCGATTCCTGGGCGAATGTGCAAGATCCATGCCGGCATCCGTTAGATCGTAGCTGTCAGAAGCATCGAAAGAAGCGTAGTATGAATCCTCGGCGACCGAGAGACCTTGGTCAAAGTGTTCTGTGGACAGGAATCGATTAGCGAACGAGGAGACTGATATCGGAGAATAAAGCAGGAGAAAAGGAGAAGAAGGCACGGGGGCTGGGAGCAAGGGCAAGTAACATACGGAAATAATCCTCCTCGAGGTCCCTAGGCTGAGACCCACAGGGTTCTTCCTTCACTCCTGTCAAGGGATTCCGCGACGGGCTCTCCATCGAGTTTCCGTGCCCTGGGGATGAAACCAGGGACGAAACCGAGCTGGAAAAACGCGTGTGGCCCTTGGCAGAGAAAAGAGACACAGCGGGTGAAACAGGCGTGGAGGAGGTGGTGGTCCAGGGCGACGGAGGCTGGCGAGATGACGGGGACGACTCAGCCATGGTTTCAAAACTATCGCGCCGTCTGGTATCTAGAAACTGGGCGGGTTTTAACATGATGGACGAGTCAAGACTACTAGCGTGGTAGTCAGGCTGGCGGTGACTGAAGATCGCGCAGATGGTGAGGCTTCCACTTCACGTGCCGGAACAGGGCGAAACGGACGTGAGGAGGAACAACGCGAAACGCAGGGGAGGACAGAACGGAGTCAATTTGAAGGCGGACGGAACATCATCCGGTGTTCGATTAATTGCCCAGACCGGCGGGGGAGAGTTCTTTTTTCTTTTTTGTTTGTTTGTTTGAACTACCAAGAAAAGGCGGTTCAAAGAAGTGAGAGGGGAGAAGGAAAAAGAAAGGACGATCGATCGGACCAAAGAGATGCCACGAGCCCCGGGAAGAGCGCCTTTATTGTTCACGAGGAACGAAGTTCGTCTGTGACGACGTGGCGTGGCGGTGGAATCGCGAGATTGCCTTGCAGTAACAAAAGCAGCGACAGGCTCTGATGAACAGAGAAGAGATGGAGAAAGCGCAACTGACTGGCTTTCTGACTGACGCTGACTGCTTGAGATTGATTGATTGACTGACAGGCTTGGCCCGGATTGAAGAAGTACGGCCTGAAGGAAGGAGACGCTGAGAATCCGTCCGCGCTGGTAGGGCAGGCAAGACGTGGAGCCTGTCGCAGCACCCAGTCAACGAACAACTGGCCGGGATTGTTCGTGAGGCCCAAAAGGACGCGGCTGACAGCTCAGTGGGCCGCAGTCAATCGGAGGCTGATGATTGCGGTGAGGTTACAGGATCCGACTCAAGGGGGGGGGGAGGTTGGAGGTAGACAGGGAGGATAATGAAGGAATGCTTGCGGAGGGGAGAGAAGAAAGGGTGTTTTAGGAATCTAGGAGATAGGAATAGGATGAGAAGATATGATGTGAGAGGATAGAGTAAGAGAAGAGAAGAAGAAGAGTCGAGTAACTGATGAGGGGGCGAGAAGAGGGGAAGGATGAGGAGAAGAGGAAAAAGAGGAGGCGATGAGAATGAAAGAGATCTGGGAGCACAGACAAAGCACGTATAGGCAAATATCAACAATAACAACAATGTCTACAACCCAGCGCAAGAGTGTGAGCGAGCGAGAGAGAGAGAGAGAATGCGTGTGTGTGTCAGGAATGTTGCTTCATTATTGATAGCTAATATTCTACACGCCGCGATGCGATGAAAATCTTCTTGTGACACTTGACAAATTAGACCGGTTTTTTCTTTTTTTTTGACAGCATCCAGTCGACCTTTTTCCTTTAGAACGTTGCCCCAGTTGATCCATTGGATCGCAGTCTTAGCCCATCGTCACTAAATTCTCCTTCTATCGGAGCTATCTAGCCTGCTGACTGGGCCCAATTTTCCCCTGTCGACCCAGCCATCTGACAGGCCAGTTTTAGGGCTGTCGATGGGCAAAAAATAGAAAAAAGAAAAGGAAACAGGGAAAAGATTTTAGAGGAGAGAAAAACCAGAACCACAGGCTGAAACCACAGAACCAGAGGAACCAGTTAACCACAGTCAGGATGATCGTCGGGTTTACACTAACTTAGACAGGCCTGTGAGGGCTCCGTTTCGCTCCGTGGCTGGGGAACCATGGATCGGGCCTCAGTGGCCATGGCTCGCAATTGTTCTTTGGGCTTCTGTGGCCATCGTGGGTCGGAGAAGACACGCGGTCGAATGGCTACTCCGGTAAGTAGTAAGTCGGTAGTAGTGGTAGTGTTCCGTATGTACTAATCCGTGAGCAGCTCGGCAACTGAGTCGACTGGGATGGTTCAAATAAGAACTTGCATCGAATGATGAATCCCAATTTGCAGTTGTGAGTTGGTGTAGTGTGTGTGTGGGTGTGGATGGTGAATGTCTGAATCCTCCCTCAGACAGGTTTCAACGGCTGCACATCGGCGCCGTCTCCAACACAGCAAGCGAGGATGGAGACGGACAGAGAAGCCGGACGAACAAGGGAACCCAGCGAGGGTAGTGGGGACTGGAGAGGAAGTTGTCTAGACTCTGACCGACTCGACTGGTCCAACACAGAGCACCCTCCCCCCATCGGATAGACAGAGCTCCATTCCTTTACTGCTTGTGAACGCGCTGTGCGACCCCTCAACCCCGTCGTCATACCCCTTCAGGGACCAAGTAGAGTCCCCGAAAGTACGACGACCTATCAACCATCCTCTCCCACATAATAGATTTGACATCGGACCAGTCCCGACGGAACAGCAGGTTGGAATAAAAGGGAGGGAAGACAGCAGGGGGTGTGGGAATGAATAGTTTGCAGTGGCCGGAGCTGTTGTGCTTCAATGCGTGAGGGAACACAAGAGAGATTGGGAATCTCGCCGTGGCACTGCTTGGGTACTGGACCGCGCCCCCAGTTCTGATGATGATGATATTATTATTTTCTACCTTCCTGTTATGATAACTATTGTTTCTGTATCAACTAACTAGTAAACTTCCTACTATACAGTAGAAAGCGAGAGCCAAGTCAGCGGTGGGGACGAGGTAGAACAAGAATGGGATCCCTCAACTTGCCTTCTACAGTAAGTTCTGATTAGTGATTCTCTTCTCTCTGTGTGTATGTGTGAGAATGTGAGCATTCAAAGGTCTGGTGCCGACGTCAGATCCACATGGCTTCAGCGCCAACCGACCGGGAACCTTGCCTCCCTCAACTCTGATGTTCTCTTCCTTGGTTCAGTCCAGCTCGACCGCATCAAGAATGCTATTCGAGCGGGTGGAAGTCCGGCGCTGTTCCGCGGAAAACTCCAACGGTAAGGGATCTTGGCGCCATGCTTTGTGAGCAACTGAGCATATCTGTTGACGGCCGGCAATGACGGTCGGGATGTTTTGTTAGTTGCCGCCTGTTCCAATCCTTCAGTACTTCATTCTCAAAGATGCATGATGGCAATCGGACAAAAAGTGCTGTGTAGTTGTGTTCCGTACAATGCGGAAGAAAGGGATTTCCAGGGACGTCATTCCGCCAAATCTCGAGGAGATTTAGGTATTCTTGACGAGTCGGCCGACTGCAGAAGTTAATTGAGCGGATCGTTTCTATTTCCAGTTGATTCTACATCATGATGTTGGTTGGTGGAGCACCAGTCCAAGCAGGACCCTTCGTTGCTTTTCTGTGCATCTAGCAAGTAAAAGTGCTGTGTAGTGTGTATATGCATCATGATGCATTCTTTTTTATCTTGCTGGTGATCTATACAACGATTCATCTTACAGATAGATTCATTTACTTAGAAGGAATGGCGTGACCAGACACTAACCCCCAATTAGGCAGGTCCAGACCGACTGACTCACTCCTGCCTGAATGCTGCCTGTATCCTCAGGCAGAAATGGCTTATCTCCAAATCGCGCTTCAATCAATCCTGCATTCCATTGACTCCTCATCCCAGCATCACAAAACAATTCTTCCCCCATCCCTGTCCCCCTCGACAGTCTCCCTCTCATCAGCCAATTGACCTCCATCCTCCATCCAGGGAATGCCTTTACCCTTTCCCACTCACCCTTAGCCACCTAGAACCATGAAATCCCCCATCTCTCTTCTCGCGGCCGTCGGCGTAGCCTCGGCTGCCTCCCCGCAGACCCTCTTGTCCCTCGCCTCCACCGCGTCCGACATCATCGACGCTTCGCCGTTCCTCTCATTCCACCGCGACATCGTCCAGATCCCCTCCGTCTCTGGTAACGAGACGGCCGTAGGCACCTTCGTGGCGGAATTCCTCGAATCGCACAACTTCACCGTCATCAAGCAGCCCGTCCCCTCATCCTCCAAAGGCGACCCCAACCGCTTCAACATCTTCGCCTACCCATCCACCTCGCCTTCCCAAGACCGCCCTGAGATCCTACTGACCAGCCACATCGACACCGTACCCCCCTTCATCCCCTATGGGCTCCACGATGACGCAAACAACAACTCCAACATCCTCATCTCCGGCCGCGGCACCGTAGACGCCAAAGCCAGCGTCGCCGCCCAGATCTTCGCCGTCCTCGATACCCTCGAATCCAACCCATCCGCTAGCCTAGGCCTCCTCTTCGTTGTCGACGAAGAAGTCGGTGGCCTCGGCATGCGCACCTTCTCCGACAACTCCACTCTCAACCCTTCCCCGTCCCCCTACCATACCGTCATCTTCGGTGAACCCACCGAGCAGGCCCTCGTCGCCGGCCACAAAGGCATGCTGGAGTTCCCCATCATTGCAACTGGCCAAGCCGCTCACTCGGGATACCCCTGGCTCGGTAGCAGCGCCATCTCCGCCCTCCTGCCCGCTCTATCGCGGGTCGATCGTCTAGGCAAGATCCCAGAAGCGGAGGGCGGACTTCCCGCGAGCGATAAATACGGCGAAACGACCGTGAACATTGGGCGCGTGGACGCTGGCGTCGCGGCCAATGTAGTGCCCTCGTCCGCGATCGCTGAGGTGGCGATCCGTCTGGCGGCGGGCACGCCCGACGAGGCGAGGGACATTGTTGCACGTGCGGTGAGAAATGCCACTGGTGGTGACGAGCATGTGTACTGCGATTTTGCTGCGTATTCTGGTGGGTACGCGCCTCAGGACCTGGACACAGACGTCCCCGGATTTGAGATCACCACGGTGAACTATGGTACGGATGTGCCGAACCTCAAGGTCTCTGAGGGAGTTAAGCGCTATCTGTATGGCCCGGGTAGTATCCATGTTGCGCATGGTGATAATGAGGCTATCACTGTCGGACAGTTGGAGGAGGCAGTCCGTGGATACAAGCGGCTCATTGAGGCTGCTGTGCAGCGGGCTCGCAGGACTTAGAAAGTGATGCAGCTAGCCATTAACCAGCCGGCTAGCCACGACGTGTACATATAACGAGGAAACGATGACGATTGTTTCTCTCCACTTACTACTAGTACGTATATTCTGTACATAGTATATATACACCCACAGGGAAGTTAATACATGTGCCAGAGGATCTATCGTACAGACAGACATTCAATCCAAAGCCAAGCCATGATAGAGCAAATCCTACTACTAGTAGTAACACTAGTAGTAATTCCAGATGTGTAAATCCAAAATCGGTAGATAATGAAAGTAGACTGAATAAACCCAAGTGCCTGCCTCGGATGATGTAACAAGCCAGAATGCAGGAGCAATATATACTAACAGTACTTAAGTATCAAAAGCAAGCATCAGACAAATCAAGAGGCGATAAAAATAAATTCGAGGCATATTTCTTGTATTTTGGTAAGCCCAAGGAAACGAAATCCAAGAGATATATAAGAGCAAAGATGTAAAGAAAATAGATATTCAAAAGAGATTATACCGACTCCTCAACTTCCTCACTGGGTGTCGTTATCGTCCGACTCTTCCTCATCCATCCGGTTTTCAACTCGCCCGTCGGCTTGAACCGCGGGAGAGGGTGTGCTTCTGTGTTAAAGACATGTTCTTCCAGAGAGATGAAGTCGCGGTCCGAGAAGAGCAGGTAGAAGTATTTGAGCGTCTCTGCCATCCAGAAACTCTCCATGTTGTCGCGCTTCACTGGGGGGTCGTCATCGGCGTTTGAAAGTGAGGTGAAGCCGGTGATTTTCTGTGGTTTCGACTTTTGTCGGGTTCCGTCGTCTTCTTCTGCCTCCGATGATGATGTTGAGCTGGATGTGTCTTCTTTGCTGAGTTCATCAACAGGGATGTCCTCGACCACGGCGGTGTGTTTTACGAAGGACTTGAACATCTCCCAGCCCCAGTGCCGGTAGATGTCGTCTCCGGTAATGCGGTACATGTAGAAGAGGGATTCGACGGTCTCTGGGCGTTGGAGGTTGTGGCGATCTTGTTTGTGGATGTTGAGGTCATCGCGCCATTTGGTGGAGTAGTCGCTGACGGGATAGATGGATTTGGAAAGGAGGGGAAGTTCGCCAGAGGCTTTTTGCTGGCCTGAGCTGGGGTTGGCAATCGTCGAGTCTGGGTACATGTCTGTCTCCATAACACGGGGGTCGTCTACATTGAAGTAGGTGATTTCTGGTGCGAGGCCGGTCTTCGTGATTAGGTACGTTGCCCAGCAGGTCTTGGTTAGTTCTCGGGCGAGGAGAATCTCTTCCTCCTGGCGTTGGCCCCAGTCGGGTGACTGTCTTGCCTCGGAAAGAGGACGCCCACCGGTTGCTGCGAGGGCGATAGTGCCGGGGTAGAAGCAGACTAGATGGTCCATCTTGGGGGAAAGGACTCCGTGCAGCCCGGCAGGGCGTTCGCCCAGAACGGTCAATTTGGCGTTCTGCGTGTAGGTGATTAGGTGCTTGCGCACGCCGACGAGGGACTCGTCCCACATGTCCTTGTAGATCGGTTCAGTCTCCTGCGTTTGAAGGTACTGCTTGATGAGGTATTCTAGAAGACATCAGTCAGCGCATTGGAATTAACGCATGGAACCAGCTGGATATATACCGTAGTACGAGTCGCCTCTGCTACCGAGACGGATGTTATCGCCTTTAAACTCGCCGGTCTCTGGATATACGTAGATCGGAAGCAACCCGTCTTCCATCTTCTGGTCGTCCACGACCTCCATGACCTTCTCCACAGCCTGCCAGTACTCGGCCTCGCCTGTCAGCTTGGCCAAGTACTTGAACTCCAGCTGGAGAGTAGTTGCTTCGGCAGTAGATGAGGCGCCATTATCCGCATACGAGGGGAGGCCCTCCGATTTGTTGAGATTGATACTTGCATACGGAATGCCAGTACCGGATTCAAAAGCGCCCAATAGACGATCTGCCAGATCAGTGGCCTTCTCGATATACAAGTCTTCTCCCGGCGCGCCTGTATCGTCATCCGCGAGCGGAGCCAGCTCGGGGTAGTTCGTGGAGAGATAGTGTGCGGAAAGTAAGCCTCCCAGCATGCGAATGGTAGTCTCGAAGGTATTCACATCGTGGTCCTGGTTGTATTGCAACGAGTTGTGAATCCAGCTGCGGGCATGTTGCACTCGCGACGTCAGGTTCATAATCATCAACGTGTCCAGCGCATCAACAATTATCCACCCCATTCCTCCTTCAATCATGTGTCGGCCGTTTTTGGCGATAGGGTGGTATTCATCGTAACCTAATCACCAGCAGACAAAGCCATTGTCAGTCACCACATCCAAGAACCAGAGACTATTTCCATTCAGAAACGTACCCCACGCATGAGCTGCATAACCATCCCAACTGACAATGAAGACGTCGCGGACTTTCTCCCTCCTTGCTTCCCAGTCAATCTTCTCTGTCACTGCACTGCCATCGTATGGCGGTTCCGACTCCTCAAAACTTTGCACCCACTTCCAGAGCTCGGCGCCCTTCTCCGCGTCTGGTGTCTTCCATTCCGGCTGACCAGAGCCAGAGTAGTACCACAGAGCGAGAAGAACCAACAGACATAGTCCGCTATATATGATCTTCCGCCGCCTGGCTCTCGGACCGGTGCGTCGTGGTGCGAAGTAGGGTTTGTCCTTGTACATGGGGAGAGTGCGGTCGCCGGCGAGGGGATTGTTCAGGGAGTTGGAGATACCAGTCGGTGGCGAAAACCCATAGCCAGGCAGCCCGTTGGTCCCAGGGCTTCGACTAGCACGCCAGTAGTTATTCTGGAACGGTTGCTGAGACGAAAATGGAGAACTGTTCCGAGGGGCCTGGAAAGACATGACCACCACCGCCAAGCTTCTACTACTATATCTGTCCTCTACCGAGGGAGGACCACACCTCCGATGCGCTCTAAGTCCGAGACAATATGTGGCCTGTCGGATTTATTCGCATAGGTTCAGTGTCTTGTCTCGGATTGAGGCTGGTGCTCAGGCAAGGACGTCTGGTTACAGGATACGTCGTTCGTTCGTAGGTAGGTAAATAGGTAGTCTGGGGTAAGCCCCAAAAGTAGTAGTCAGTATCGTGGCAAGACTATAGTTAACGGGGCGAACGGTTTTAGATCTAGTAGGAAAAATGAGAAGACCATTCAACGGTTAGCCAAAGAAGCACTGTGAATTGCTGCAGCGATAGTGAGCTCCCAGGAGTAAATGGCAAGATTACCGATAAAGTTAGCAGGCCCCCGATTGAACCAAGCATTTGATCTCTTTGCGATTTTAAGATGACCGGTCGCAAGTTGGGTCTGTTGATCTCCGCGGACTGTCTCCCGATGCACACTAATAGGCCATCGATGGTTCCTGGACAGTAAGATACTGAACAGGTGTCAACTATTCTGAGAAGATGTTTCGGCGCCTAGGGAAACTGATTCGAGCATTACATAAAAGTGAGGACAGCCATTCCGATGGACGCGTGTAAAGCCCATGTGGCGCCTAGCTCAACTTGTCCTCAGCGCATGGATGCCGATCCTTGGTCGCGGCCTTGGCGACGAACGGGCGGCATGTTCACAGTATCTGGAGAGGAAGAGGAAGCCATCATCGTCATCAATACTGGTACTCAAGCTCGATTGTCAGTTATAACCCATAGCAGACATTATGTTTACCCGGTCAGGGTCCAATGCTCGGGTCCATGCACCTTCTTTGCCTAGTTTGTGGGGAAATCTCCCATGTGATTAATAGGGCTACCACTTAAAACCGTACCTACTACTTTAAGTACAAGGCTGCAAACTGCACGGCATTATCACTGCATGGATTGTGTACATTAGATGAGCATAAGCAGATTGGGGGTTTGGCTTCCCATAAGTTGGAAATAATAGCTTTCTACATCATGGCTAATTCTCAGGTATTCAATCAAGCGGGAACTACAACTTCTGGTATTCCAGCTTGCCCTCCAGCTTCTTCGCCTCAGCCACCTTGCGGACCGCTCTGTTGAAGTCATCCTGGTTGATCGCATCCCGGTAATCCTTGATAGCAAATAGACCACTGTGTCTCCATGTTAGTCCTATTCATGTACAAAAACGAAAAGGGGAAGCAATGATGAGTGATAGACATACGCTTCCGTAACAACGTTGCGAAGATCAGCACCGTTAAGTCCGTCGCTCATCTTCACCACACTTTCGAAGTCGATCTCACCATCCAGTTGAACGGTGCTGGAGTGGATCTTCAAGATCTCCAGACGACCGACCTCGTTGGGCAGGGGAATTTCGATCTTGCGGTCGAGACGACCGGCTCGCAGCAGAGCCGGGTCAAGCGTGTCGGGCCGATTCGTAGCCATAATGATCTTCGTCTTTCCAAGGTAATCGAAACCATCCAGCTGGTTGAGAAGCTCCATCAGTGTACGCTGGATTTCTCGATCAGCCGAGGTACCCTCCGAGAAACGCCTTCCACCGATAGCGTCGATTTCGTCCATGAAGATAATGCAAGGCTCGTGTTCTTTGGCGTATCCGAACATCTCTCTTATTAACCGTGCAGATTCACCGATGTACTTGTCGACAATAGCGGACGAGACAACTAGGACAGAGTTAGCGATCTAGGCCTACCTAAGCCCGCGCCCGGAACTAGAGATGTATACCTTTCAGGAAGTTCGTCTCCATTGAGCTTGCCACTGCTCGTGCCAACAGCGTCTTTCCGGTACCGGGAGGACCGTAGAGGAGCACACCCTTGGGCGGCTTGATTCCTACTCTTTGGAAAAGCTCGGGGTTCTTGAGCGGCAACTCAATGACTTCTCGAAGCTCGCGGATCTGCTCGTTCAAACCACCAATGCCTGCAAAGTTGATCTGGCCTGGGTCCTCCAGTGACATGTTGTATACCAACGGATCAACCTCTCTCGGGAGCATTCTCATTATAGTAAGTGTGGTCATATCGAGGGCGACACGGGTGCCCTGCTTCAGCTTTGCTTTGTCGACCTTCGAGCGGCAACCGACGACATAACGCGGTCCGGATGATGCCTTGACAATGACTGAATCAGGTCAGCCCAGATATCGGTAAAGAGAGTGGCTTATTTTGGACATGTTTCTGCCCGGGAATAAATGACATAGGGATGAGAAATCGAGATAAACTTACATCTCTCCTCATCCAGCTGCTTCAACACTTCTCCGATGATCTGGCCGACACTTTGCAGCGCCTTGATGTTCTCTTCAGAGATATCAAACTCTCGTTGCAAATCCTTGATTCCCATGCGAAGAGACTTGAGCTTGGCTTCCCATTCTCGGAGCTCAAGCAGGCTCCTCTTGTAATCCTCGAGCGCCTGCTCTCTCTCCGGATCGCTGGCGCCGTTCATGATGTAAGGCAATCAGGGAGACCGAAAAGCAGAGCGAAGTCGAAACAGCAAAATCCCCGGGGGTCTTTAGAAAACAAGGTAAACGACCCGGGAGGGTGAATATGCAGATGGATTGATAAGGGATGGGCTGGTTGACGGTACTTGGTCTTACTGCATCCAGCTCGGCGAGCTGTCGAGGAGCTCACAGCAGCCACCAGCTCACAGTGATCACATGACGCTGGCTCATTGACAATGACATAATCACCAATGTATGCCTGGATTTATGCCTGAATAGTTAGGCTGCAGGGATATAAGGGCCAACAATCTATCACTTGTCGGAGTATCTATTATCCGGAGTAACCTCTCAGGCACCAAGGTGTCCGTGTCTTGTCCATTTGCCGCGGGCATTTTCGTCATTACGCAATGGAAGTTTCCAGACAAGAAAACGCTGGATGTTTTCCCACCCATTGAGGGGCAGGTGGAAGATGCTCTCTCAACGTATGAGATAGATCATAATTGATATGATTGGTAGTACTCTGACTCACTCAATTGGTCCTGGAGGATTTACAGAAAGTTCAAGCTACTACTACCTGTAATGGAGGGGTAGTAGGTGCGTATTGTTGTTGTGTGGAAAAGGAGGGGCTATTGCGCCTACAGGTGACAGGATGCATCTGCGATCTGTACCACAAGCATTATACTTTCTATTACCTTTAGCCGTGACCCAGGTCGGGAAGAAGACATGGAAAAGAGGAGCCATGGAGCCTTGTCAGTTCGTCAACCCCGTCCTCAGCAGCAACACCCGCCTTACCCCGAGGGAATGCGGAAGATCTCGCTGGGGAGGGTAGCAGTTTGAGAGTCTAGAGACAGCTTCAGCCAGCGAGAGCAGCGACTGATGCTGTCTGCCCCACCATTCCCTTGGAAAGATTCGGAGGACGAGACCGTGAGCTTTCCCGGGGCACGCCTTTTGGGGGTGGGAAAGCTTACAAGAAGTAGCCTGCCTGTAACAGTCTGTTGTCGTGTTTATTATTTATCTACTACTTCCCCCTCCTCCTCCCCTCCTCTTGTGTTAAGAGTACTCTCAAGAAAGCTCTTTTCTTACATAGTACAACCTTCATCCTCGAGGTCCTGTAAGTATTACTTGTTTACCCCATACTCATACTCATCATCATCAACATCAACATCACTCCTATTATCTCTCCCCCCTGCCCATTTCCTCCTGTTCTTCCAACTTCTCTAAGCTGGGGGTCATGACCCCGCCATCATCCCACCATGTTTTGTTGTGCTTGACCCCTCCATCCATACATCCTCCTGTCTATATACCCATCACTCCATCTTGTCGTCTGTCCATCAAATGATCTGGCATGTCCGGATTTAGCACCAATCCCATTGATGAGATGATCGTTTGGGAAACTTGGGCTGTGCCGAGCCTGGTCTATTCGATGGATCGGACCTCTCCACCTCTCCCCTTTCCCCCCCCCCCTCCCCGTCCTTCCCTTCTCCGTCACTCATCCGCCATCCGCTCATTCTTTTTGGGTCCTCGGTGAACACTCACCACCCTCCCCCCCGCTGCTACTAGTGCACACCGAAACAGCAAGTCCGGAGCGCTTACATTTTTGCCTCCTCCGTTTTTCCCTTATATCTGGGCCTTGTTCTCTCTTTGCCATCTTCGTTTCCTTTCAGTTTCACTGATCCAGAACTCTCCTCCCCCCAGTCTATCAACATGCCTATCTCCAAGATCCACGCCCGCTCCGTCTACGACTCCCGCGGTAACCCCACCGTCGAGGTTGACGTTGTCACCGAGACTGGTCTTCACCGTGCCATTGTCCCCTCTGGTGCTTCCACTGGTTAGTCGTCAACAAGCAATCAAGGACCTTGCTGTCCTCCAGCTCTACATTCGATATGCTGACAGTCAATATCCAGGCCAGCACGAGGCTCACGAGCTCCGCGATGGCGACAAGACCATGTGGGGTGGCAAGGGTAAGTTCAGAGCATCCTTCTCTACATCCTTGGTGTAATCAATTCCATCCAGCTGACATCCACTGCTTGACTTAGGTGTCCTGAAGGCCGTCAAGAACGTCAACGAGACCATTGCCCCCGCCGTCATCAAGGAGAACCTCGATGTTAAGGACCAGTCCAAGGTTGATGAGTTCCTCAACAAGCTCGATGGTACTGCCAACAAGTCCAACCTCGGTGCCAACGCCATCCTTGGTGTCAGTCTGGCCATCGCCAAGGCCGGTGCTGCTGAGAAGGGCATCCCTCTCTACGCTCACATCTCCGACCTTGCTGGTACCAAGAAGCCCTACGTCCTCCCCGTTCCCTTCCAGAACGTCCTGAACGGTGGTTCCCACGCTGGTGGCCGCCTGGCTTTCCAGGAGTTCATGATCGTCCCCAAGTAAGTTGCCGCCATTATGCCACTTCCAAAGTAGTTCGCATCACTAACAAGCATGTAGCACTGCCTCTTCCTTCTCTGAGGGTCTCCGCCAGGGTGCTGAGGTCTACCAGAAGCTCAAGGCTCTTGCCAAGAAGAAGTACGGCCAGTCCGCTGGCAACGTTGGTGACGAGGGTGGTGTCGCCCCCGACATCCAGACTGCCGAGGAGGCTCTTGACCTGATCACCGAGTCCATCGAGCAGGCCGGTTACACTGGCAAGATCAGCATTGCCATGGACGTTGCCTCCAGCGAGTTCTACAAGGCCGACGTCAAGAAGTACGACCTTGACTTCAAGAACCCCGAGAGCGACTCCTCCAAGTGGCTCACCTACGAGCAGCTGGCCGACCTCTACAAGTCCCTTGCCAGCAAGTACCCCATTGTCAGCATTGAGGACCCCTTCGCTGAGGACGACTGGGAGGCCTGGAGCTACTTCTACAAGACCTCTGACTTCCAGATTGTCGGGTACGTACCCTTCTCAATGCAACCTCTCCGTTAGGGTTATTTGTCGCTAACTGATTATTTCTACAGTGATGACTTGACTGTCACCAACCCCCTGCGTATCAAGAAGGCCATTGAGCTCAAGTCTTGCAACGCTCTCCTGCTCAAGGTCAACCAGATCGGTACCCTTACCGAGTCTATCCAGGCTGCCAAGGACTCCTACGCTGACAACTGGGGTGTCATGGTCTCCCACCGCTCCGGTGAGACCGAGGATGTCACCATTGCCGACATTGCTGTCGGTCTGCGCTCTGGCCAGATCAAGACCGGTGCTCCTGCCCGTTCCGAGCGTCTGGCTAAGCTGAACCAGATCCTCCGTATCGAGGAGGAGCTCGGTGACAACGCCGTCTACGCCGGCGAGAAGTTCCGCACTGCCGTTAACCTGTAAATGCAGCCATTTTCCGTATAATGTCACCCAGTGCAAGACCCTAGCGGTCCCCACTAGCCCTTCCAAGCGGCTGCAGAACAGCATCGTTGGGATGGAACTAAGCGGCGAAAACATCAGAGATGATTAAGATTTATGATGACGATTTCAAAGGCCAAATAATTGATTTTAGTGGCACATAATGAAAAAAAATATTTCTTTTCACCCTTCAATATAGAGAGTTCCTATTGTTTTCCCCAAGTTCAATGCAGATTGATAGATAGCAGTACGTAGTAAGATTGGGCATCACGGGCAATCCCGCGTGCACGTGACCACGCCGCATGCCCCACGGGATCAGCCACTCGGTCGTTCAAACAAATTCCCTCCTCCAGCAGTACCTCGTCAACGACACCAGTTCCTCTGCGTGAGACTTACGCTTATCACCGGCTTCACTGCCAGCCACGCAACTCACATTTCAGCTTGTCATTTTCGCCCCAAACTTGACGACTTTTGCCCGCCATGGCTCCTTCAAAGTGGGGTATGTCCTCTTTTGGATTTTTGTGGCCCTCGCCCGCCATAGGAATATACATTGCGGGACAACATGGCAAGCCATTCACGATACTGACGTTTTCATTCAGATGACGAAGAGGAGAGTGTCTCTCCCCCTCCTGTGGTTGCCCGCCGCAAGTTCGACGATGAGGAAGAGGAGGATGTAAGTTTTTTTGCCGCCCCTCCCCCTCCCTTTCCAATTTTGCCTCACAATCTGCCCCGCGCCGTCTCTCTCAGCCTCAGTCGCTGACAGAATCCCTCACCACCTTTTCCCCCACAATCTGACTGAACGAACTAGGTCCTCGACTCCTGGGACGCCGCCGAAGATTCCGAAGTAGAGCGCGAGAAGGCCGCCAAGGCAGCGGAGGCCAAGGCCAAGGCCGAAGCCGAAGCCGCCGCCAACAAGAAGAGCAAGGCACAGCGGATACAGGAAAAGAAGGCCCAGCGGAAGGCAGATGCCGATGCTGAGACTTCGGACGACAGCGACGAGGACGAGGCCGAGCGGAGAGCCCGTCTCCGCAAGACCGAGAAGGACGCTGACCTTAAGCACGCCGAGGACCTCTTCGGTGACATCGACCTGAACCGTATGCGCAACCGCAGCGCCCCCAAGGCCGTGGTCATCAGTGACTCGGCCGACCCGACCCAGGCCGTCGATCTCTCGGCTATGCCTCTCTTCAAGCCCGCCACCAAGGACCAGTTCACCCGCGTTACTACCACCCTTATCCCTCTGTTGACCACTCAGTCGAAGAAGCCCCAGTATGCTCTGTGGGCGCAGGACTTCATCAAGCAGCTCGTCAAGGACCTGCCCAGTGGTGATGTCAAGAAGATTGCTTCTTCGCTGACTACCCTCAGCAACGAGAAGATGAAGGAGGAGCGTGCTGCCGATAAGGGTAACAAGAAGACCAAGGCGGCCAAGACCAAGGTCTCCCTGGTCACCTCTAGAGAGAACAGGATTGAAACCAACTCTTATGATGATGATGGGTTGGATGACGATGACTTCATGTGATTTTGTTATTTAGAACATTTATATTTCCTTTTCTTCTTTTTATCCCACCAACCAATCCCCTTAACTTACTTGCCTTCATTTGCTTCTACTTTCTCGTCTATTATTTTTCTATGCTCTTCTCAGTTATCCACTCTATATCTTTGCTAGACCGGCTTGCGCCCTGACATGCATCATATAAAACCATGTTCATTCGTCCTCATCTGTTTTGTATATCCATCATATAAAATTGTCTCCTTTGTTTTTTTTTTTTTTTCACTTATCTTTCGCTATTCGGCTTCCTATACCGTTTATAGAGCATGGCTCATCTCTCCCGTACATATGCGTGGGTAGCATACATATATCTGCAGCCAGTATAGAAGCTGCCGCGGTTGTTCGCTTACTAAGTCTATGGCTTTTACTAACTGTAAAGTGTGCATCTTAGACGCAGTGTTAACGAGTACTAGGAGGTGATGAGGTAGTATATGTTCTGTAGGGGCAGTGGGTGGCAGTGGCAGTAAGTGTGCAAGGCGGCTATTTATCTTTACGGCGGTAATAAAGACTTCCAACGGTGGTAGCAGTAATTTGATCGCGGCTCTTGAGAAGGATACAGAATCTAGCAGTCATTCGATGATAAATCGATTCCCGTTAAGGTATCGGGTCATGGGATTGAGAGAACTGGTTACTTTGATTTGAGATATTGTAAAGCTTAAGGCTCTTAACACGTAGGAGCGAAACAGCAGGGGGAAATCGGGAAAAGGGGCGTGGGGTGAATAAAAAAGTTGGAAATAAGACACTGTATCTTGCTGGGGGTGAATAAAGAGAGAATAAAAGAGAGGTAAATTCCACTCAGCCCCTTTTCTTCGCTCTCCAAACATCAAACTCCGCCGGCCGACCCACAGGATCCCGAACAAGTGGAAGATATGTGCCGGTCCAGACCCTTCGCACAGCTAAAAGCAGACCTTCATAAGCGTTTCCGGGTAGTATTCGCACACCTGAACTGGCACGTCGGGGACACAACTGTTTTTGATACACAAGAACACACACCACCCCTCTAGGACTCAGGGGCAGCGGGCTTGGGCTCCTCGGCCTTGTCCTCGGGGGCGGCGGCGGTCTCCTCCTCGGGCTTGTCCTCCTTGGGGGCAGCACCCTCGGCCTCGTTGCCATCAGAAGAGGTCCACAGAGTGAGGTTGTCACGCAGGAGCTGCATGATCAGGGTGCTGTCACGGTAGCTCTCCTCCGAAAGCGAGTCGAGCTCCGCAATGGCGTCATCGAACGCCTGCTTGGCAAGGTGGCAGGCACGATCGGGGGAGTTCAGGATCTCGTAGTAGAAGACGGAGAAGTTCAGGGCGAGACCAAGGCGGATGGGGTGGGTAGGGGTAAGATCAGTCTGGGCGACATCGGTAGCGTTCTGTATGATTGTTAGTGCGAGTCCTCCGATATAGCACGCAATTCAAAGAGCTCACCTTGTAAGCCTCGTGGGCGGCGGTGGCAGCGACCTTGCGCTTGTTGCCAGAGGCAAACTCAGCGAGGTAGCGGTGGTAGTCACCCTTCCTATAGTTCGTACAACAGTCAGCCTCTGCTCTCTTTATACCTGCCAGTAAATGCTCGTTCCCTAATCCAAGACTCACATCTTGTAGTAGAAGACCTTGGACTCGCCAGTCTCGGCCTTGGGGATAAGGGACTCATCCAGAACGTCGAGGACATCCTGGCAGACCCTCTCGAGCTCGGTCTCGATCTTCTGGCGGTAGTCACGGATGATCGAGACGTGCTGCTCAGAGCCCTTGGACTCCTCCTTTTGCTCAATGGAGGAGATGATACGCCACGAGGCACGGCGGGTACCGACCACGTTCTTGTAAGCAACGGAGAGAAGGTTACGCTCATCGACGGAAAGCTCGCCTCCAATCTGATGCGGGGTCAGCTTGACCCACGGGTAAAAGGGGGTTACGGGGGGAAAAGGGGGGAGCTTCTCGTCAGAAGGAGGTAAGGGGGGTCATACGTTGGCGACTTCCTGCACAAGAGTTAGCGATTATGCTTGTTAAGAGCCCAGGGGCTGACAGGCGGCTACTGACCTTCATGTACGTGACCATCTCTATAGGCGGTAGGGATCAGCATGTGAAGCCAACATGGCAGAGCAGTAAACGGGCATCTTACCATCGTAGCGCTCAGCCTGCTCACAGAGCCGGGCGAGGAACGTCTTGCTACAGAAGGGTGTAGTGTCAGTGTTGCTGTTGTCGGGTCACTGGTCGAGACGGGTCTGGATCCTTACTTCTCACGCTGCAAGTAAAGGGGGGGAAGAACAGTTAGCTGAGTCCAGACTAATCGCGACGCAACAACTGAGAAAACACAAGAGAATTTCCCGACATAGGAATACATGCGGCTAGGGATTAAACGGACTGCAACTGGAAGGACGCCAGTTGAAGCCGCCAGAGCAGAGAGAGGGGTCAGGCTGAGGGGGTGGAATAACATACCTCAGAAGTCATAGTAGGCGATCTGATGGAGATAAGGGGATTGGGAAAGACGGTGGTTGGTTTGGTAGAGGGTGAAAAGGAGAGAGTAGAGGTGCAAGATACCGAAGTAGAGCACGAGACAACGGAGAATGGGATGAAAAGAAGATGGGAATCACGAGAGGTTTGGCAGATGTGATCCTCCAGCAACGAGTGATGGACGGTGAAGGTGACGACCAGCCAGCTTTAGCGAGAAGCGGGCGCCTCGTCTGTTTGCGATGTTTGCTCTGGCAGCCTCAGGCAGTGTCATGGTGAGTCAGCAAGCAAATCTCCTGCTGGTCACCTGCTTCCGCCGGTCACTGGACCCTGACGTAATCTAACAATAATCACTCCGGGTTTAAAAGCCAACTAGGCAATTAATGGTTAGTGCCTCCTTAGTTGAGCGGTCGCTCTCAATTATTAGTGAAAGGCTCCCAATTATGCGGCATAGTAACATCCTAACATCCCCCAAACGGGGAGGGAACTATAGTAGCATAGTAGGAGCTGTAAATAGATCTTCAGAAATTCATGGCCGGAATCGACTGAGGCAGCCATGAATACTTCAAGAGCCTGGGTGCAAGAGTTGAAAACCATAAGAGGGCGGCTAATGATACCAGTTCATGTGGGAGATAGATCATACTCATTTTCCCCTTGAGTTGAACCATCATGCTCTTCCGTTCATCAGGACCAGCATCGCTCTGGTCCTCTGTGTCTTTTTATCTGCCAAGTTCGTCCTATTCTGCCGGTTATTCTCTACCGCACAACCGGTGAAGATGTTATACGTCGCGCTTCTCCACCCTCAACGGGCTGTGGTACCCTGAGCTGTGCTCCATATCTCCGATGATCGTCTATTCAGAACCGCACGAGACGAAAAAAAAAAAAAAAAAAGATGTTGAGAGCCCGGCAGATGACAAGTTCACCGGTTATTGCCCGATTAAAAAAGAAACCCTTAATTTACTATCCCATTTAGGCTGACCGTGCTTTTGGCCATGCAAACTAAAAGACAACTATGGGTTTCCCTACTACTAAATACACCCTTCCTGAGCGGAGATTACGCAGGACTGCAACAACCACCGAAACAGGCGGGCGGCTGAGTCAAGACATTGGAGTTTCAAAGGAGAACCACCAATATACCGCTGGCTGGTATGAAATCACCTTCTGGAGCAGTGTGGACGGGCCCTCTGCCCTACAGGGCGTCTACAAGGGCCGGACTAGGCAAGCTGTCGTACCGTTTGGTGTGGATGGGTGGAAGATCGATGACTTGTTTGGGGCAGGTGCTCTGGGTCCGATACCATGGCGGAAAGCACGGAATCGAATCAAAATCTACGAGAGACAAGAGGCCTCCACCGGTGTTATGCAGCACCTTCCAATCCGAGGAGTGAGACCCCGCTAAATGGGCGCCAAATGAACCAGGATGACTGCGAATTGTATGGGACGAGTGGTTTTAGTTCGAGTCTTGGGGTCAGCCAGGAAGGCATCATCGTTTCGCAGTGGAGAGTGTATGGTATTGTTATGGCCGAGCGGTGGGTTTCTCGCTTGCAGAGAGAGAAGAGAAAGAGAGACTTGAGGGAGATAACGCCGAGAATGAAAATGGATACGTAGGAAGATTATTTAGAACTATTAAGAAGGCTGTGCAATGTTGGGGGGAGAATGCGTCCCTTTTTTAATTGCTTTTCTTTTTTTTCTTCACCCTTTTTTCCTATTTCGATCAGTTATTTTCTTCAGCCTATTTATTTTTCATGAACTTTCATGAACACGAAAGATAACAGATACACAGCTATAGAACCTTTGTAGGAAAATGAGTGTAATAATCCAGTCGTAAAGACTACTAAACAGGCCAAGTGACTCCAACGCCCGGACTCACAGAAGCACGGTCATGGTATGGTTCAGCCCTGTCGGATTGGAACCGGCAATTCTGGCGCAGCGACCGGGGGGGGGGGGAACCAGATAGATCCAGACACCGCAAATGAAGAGAACACGTTGAGTGCCTGACAAAGCCGCCTCTTGGTTCACGGTTCCCGAGCCCCCAGAGGCAAAATCCCTGGCCCATCATTCGGTCCTTGTATGGAATGGGGAATTTATTTATAAATTATAAATCAGCAGTTTTTGCCATCCTCTTGAGAAAACCACAAGACACCAAGAGAATACCCTGTTTTTATTTATTTTCTTTCTTACTTTACTTCATTTCCTTCCTTCCCTCCTTGGCTGACGGTATCTGGTGTATTGATTGGTCTTGCCCGGTATTATTAACAACGGTACTATCTGGTGTGTCCGCTTTCCGCTTCCCATCCTAACCTACTATCTATCTACTACTCTTCTAGATCCTTCCCGCTAAGGGACTAACCTCTCCGACTTGATTGCAGTGCCACTCACTAGGTCCCAAGCTTCCGGCCACTTGGCGTTCATGTCTTGATCTGGGTTATATCCCCGGTCTCTTCCCTTCCTTTTCTCTCTCTTCTCTGTTGTTCCCGCTCCAGGCCACCTTGCGCTTTTTCGGGGTCCCAACAACATGGAGCACTCCTACCTTTATTCCCCAGCCGAAGTGCTGGACCATTTTGACGTCAAGGAGAGCTCTGGTCTGTCGCAACAGCAGGTCTCTCAATCGAGGAAAAAGTACGGTCCTAACGGTATGTTGCAGCTTTCCTTCCCCATGGGCAATGTCGCAGGCACTAACTTGCGGTTCGAACCTTCATAGCCCTTGCGGAAGAACCACCAACCCCTCTCTGGCAACTTGTCCTGGAACAATTCAAGGACCAACTGGTCCTGATTCTACTGGGCTCCGCTGCTGTGTCTTTTGTTCTGGCTCTTTTCGAAGAAGGAGATGACTGGTCCGCCTTTGTTGACCCCGTTGTGGTATGAGCTCGAAAGCCTCCCGAGTCTGGCGCCGCCTCGACCCAAGACACTAACGAATCCTGTTGTACCATAGATTTTGACGATTCTGATCCTCAATGCCGTGGTTGGTGTTACCCAGGAGAGCAATGCTGAGAAGGCCATTGCTGCTCTTCAGGAATACTCTGCAAACGAAGCTACTGTTGTCCGTGATGGCGTTACCAAGCGTGTCAAGGCCGAAGACCTGGTTCCCGGAGATATTGTCGTTGTTGCGGTTGGAGACCGTGTTCCAGCGGATTGCAGGCTACTTGCCGTTCACAGCAACAGCTTCCGAGTGGATCAAGCCATCCTGACCGGTGAGAGTGAGAGTGTGAGCAAGGACGCCCGCACTGTTCATGACAAGCAGGCCGTTAAGCAGGATCAAACCAACATGCTTTTCTCTGGTACCACTGTTGTTAATGGACACGCTACCGCCATTGTGACCTTGACCGGTGGATCAACCGCCATTGGTGACATTCACGAGAGCATCACCTCTCAGATCTCGGAGCCAACCCCACTGAAGCAGAAGCTCGATGATTTCGGAGACATGCTGGCTAAGGTAATTACCGTCATTTGTATTCTGGTGTGGATCATCAACATCGAGCATTTCAACGACCCTTCCCATGGAGGCTGGACTAAGGGAGCCATCTACTATCTTAAGATCGCGGTGTCTCTGGGTGTGGCTGCCATTCCCGAGGGTTTGGCTGTGGTGATCACCACCTGCCTCGCACTTGGTACCCGCAAGATGGCTCAGAAGAATGCAGTCGTCCGTTCGCTTCCCTCCGTTGAGACTCTCGGCAGCTGCAGTGTGATCTGCTCCGACAAGACCGGAACCTTGACCACCAACCAAATGAGTGCAGAGAAGATTGCGTATTTGAATGCGGCCGGCAACGGTGTTGAGGAGATTGATATTGAAGGCACTACTTTTGCGCCTGAAGGTAAAGTCACTCGCGATGGAAAGGAACTCCAGAACCTTGCCGTGTCCTCGGCCACTGTTCGACAGATGGCGGAGGTCATGGCTCGCTGCAACAGTGCGACTTTGGCCCACGATGCGAAGAATGGCTCATTTTCCTGTATCGGTGAACCTACTGAGGGTGCACTGCGTGTTCTGGTCGAGAAGATTGGCACTGATGATGCCGCTACGAATGCGAAGCTGTTCCGCCTTCCCGCCTCCCAGCGACTCCACGCCGCAAGCGCGTACTATGAAGCTCGCCTGCCCTTGAAAGCAACCTACGAATTCTCGCGTGACCGGAAGAGCATGTCCGTGCTCATTGGAAATGATAAGGAACAGAAGCTACTCGTCAAGGGCGCTCCCGAGTCTATCTTGGAGCGGTGCACGCATGTTCTCCTTGGAGCTGACGGCAAACGGGCCTCTCTCACGAAGTCTCATCTTGACCGGCTCGCTGCTGAAGTTGTGGGCTACGGTAGCCGCGGTCTTCGTGTGATGGCTCTGGCTAGTGTCGACGGTGTCAACAACAACCCTCTGCTTCACAACGCTCAATCGTCCCAGGACTACGCCCAGTTGGAACAAAACATGACTCTTATCGGACTTGTCGCTATGCTCGATCCCCCTCGCGTGGAGGTCGCGGCTTCCATCAAGAAATGCCACGATGCTGGAATTCGGGTTATCGTCATTACTGGTGACAATCAGAACACCGCTGAGTCGATCTGCCGTCAGATTGGTGTCTTCCACGAGGGCGAGGATCTTAAAGGCAAGAGCCTCACTGGAAGGGAGTTCGACGGCCTTTCGGAGGCTGAGAAACTCGAGGCTGCTAAGACTGTGTCTTTGATTTCCCGCACCGAGCCTAGCCACAAGTCCAAGCTGGTCGATCTTCTCCAATCTCAAGGCCATGTGGTTGCCATGACTGGTGACGGTGTTAACGACGCCCCTGCCTTGAAGAAGTCGGATATTGGTGTGGCTATGGGAACAGGAACCGACGTTGCGAAGCTGGCTGCTGATATGGTTTTGGCCGACGACAACTTTGCCACCATCACCGTGGCCGTGGAAGAGGGACGTTCCATCTATAGCAACACTCAGCAGTTCATCCGCTACCTGATCTCTTCGAACATCGGCGAAGTGGTGTCGATCTTCTTGACTGCCGCCTTGGGTATGCCTGAAGCCTTGATTCCCGTGCAGCTTCTCTGGGTCAACCTTGTCACCGACGGCTTGCCTGCTACCGCGCTCTCCTTCAACCCCCCTGACCATGATGTGATGAGACGCGCCCCCCGCAAGCGCGACGAGCCCCTGGTTGGCGGCTGGCTTCTGTTCAGATACATGGTGATCGGTACTTATGTTGGTGCGGCTACTGTCTTCGGCTACGTTTGGTGGTTTGTGTACAACCCCGAGGGTCCTCAGATCTCCTTCTGGCAATTGGTAAGATATGCGTCGTATAGTCTACTCGTTTTCTTTTCTTTTCCGGTCTTGCTAATATCTGTATAGTCTCACTTCCACAAGTGCTCTTCTCAGTTCCCTGAGATTGGGTGCGAGATGTTCTCGAACGATATGTCCCGCTCGGCCTCTACTGTGTCTCTTTCGATCCTGGTCGTCATTGAGATGTTGAACGCCATGAACGCACTCTCGTCCAGCGAATCCCTTCTTACGTTCTTCCTCTGGCACAACCCCATGCTGGTCGGTGCCATCATCCTTTCGATGGCGTTGCACTTTGCGATCTTGTATGTGCCCTTCTTGCAGGGTTTGTTCTCGATCCTGCCCCTGGGCTGGATGGAATGGAAGGCCGTCGTGGCCATTAGTGCCCCGGTTGTGTAAGTCAATCTCTTGAATCCCCCCTACCTGGCGAGAATTTTTGCTGACCGAAACCAACTAGGTTCATCGATGAGGTTCTCAAGTTTGCGGAACGTCGTCTGTACAATAACGTCCCAGCAAGATCTACCGTCGAACAACAGAACGGAGGAGTGGGGAAGCCTAAGCGGGCGTAGATTTGAGCAACGAAGTGATGACTCGAATATGAGGGGGTGCATTGATGATAGATATAGATATCGGCCCTCCAGCCCTGTTATATTTTGGTTTTCTGCTGTTGGGTGGTCGATTACATGTACGTAAAACATGTTGGATGTTCTGATTGCATAAGAACAACGAAGAGACGACTTGTGTCTGTATCTGCATCCTTCTGAATTGTGATTATCTGGTCGTATACAAGTTTGGGGAGTAATTGACGGTCACGTTGTCCAGGCCCCGTGACGTGGACAGGGGCCATACACCCATTTTCTGAAAATGAAAGAAGTAGCACCACCACCCGTACTCTGGACCCAGCAATTGCGATCTCACTTGCGACTGGCTGAACCCGGCTAAAACCACTTAGTGGCCTCACATCAATGATTTTCCCCTTGCTAGCAGGCAGCAAGCTCTGATTATGTCGCATATGCAGCTGAACGTGCATGGTCAGTCTTGTCAGTCAGGATATTAGCCTAATTCCCGCGACTGCGGAGTAAGAGGAGCAAAAAGGATATAAGGATGGAGGGGACAAATAGGGAACTTGGAAAGCCACCTTAACCTTTTCTTTCTACCACTAGTAGGGCAAGCCAAAGCCAATAAGCCATCATCGCTAACTATTCTCAAGTCACCCAACCAGACTCAGATCGATGCGGGGGAAACTGCCGAGATGAAGTTACACGGTTGCTGCTGCTGCTGCTGCTGCTGCTACCCGCCACCATCCATGACCCTCGCGCTTCACGAGGAATGTCACCCTGAATTAAATGCACCTCGAGCAATCAGGCTGACCTCTAACGGCTAGAGATTGGCTGCGCTACTACTCATGGGATGTCGGCCCGTCTCGACTCCTCACTGGTGGATTCTAACCGGTGATCCTTTCCAAGGATTGTCTGGATTTGTGGGGAAGAAGTCTGGGGATGGCGGTGCTACTGCCCGTCTTTACGCTTGGCTTGGCCTACAGAACCAATTCTAGTGAGAGGGGAATGAGGGGGAACTTTGGGGGGAAGAGAAAGAGTGTATTTCCTGGGTTGATGCCAAGGAATATGCTCACATGGGTTGCAAAGATGATGCCCTCATGCTGAACGAAGTCGTACATAAGGTGCCAGGGTGCCAATGTCTGGGGCTTTTTTCTTTGCGCTTGAATCCCTGCAAGCATTGCTTATCTTTCCTTTCTCCTACTGCTTCGGTATACTTCTCTTTTACTTCACTACAGTTTCACTTGCTCTTACCTATCGTACTCTCCTTCCTCCATCATTGCTCTGGTCTTAATCTTCCCTCCCCCACAGAATGGGGTTCCTACACTTTCTCAAGACCCGGTCTGGGTTCCGGGTTGACAACAGCAGGACTACTTCTGCAGCTACCCTGACCTTACGCCAAAGTCTTTGGCCCTTGACCCTTGTTACTATACTCTTCTTTCTCTGGGTAAGCTGTGCACCAGCCCAGCCATTACTCGAATCGATCTGCTGACCCAACTTTCAACAGGGCTTTGCCTACGGCTTACTCGACACTCTCAACAAACACTTCCAAAACACTTTGAATATCACCCGAACACGCTCCTCGGGTCTTCAGGCAGCCTACTTTGGGTCAGACATTTGCTAGACTACATACAAGTTGCAATTCAACTGATGGTCATAGTGCTTATCCACTTGCGTCCTTGGGATATGCAAACTACATACTCCGTCACTTCGGATACAAAACCGTCTTCATCTTCGGCCTCACTCTATATGGTATCGGTGCCCTCTGCATGTGGCCTGCAGGCTTGAACCGATCGTTTGGTGGCTTCTGCGCCGCTACCTTCGTTATTGGCTCGGGCCTTGGATCGTTGGAGACGGCTGCCAACCCCTACCTTACCGGTTAGTCAACCATCCATATCCGATCTTCAGCTGATGCTGTGAGATGAAACAACACCAAAAAAGCCCCCCTGCTAATCACTGAAATGACCGACCAGTCTGCGGTCCACCCAAATACGCTGAGATCCGAATCAATCTCGCCCAGGCGTTCAACGGCATCGGCACCTGCGTCGCACCAGCCCTAGCATCATACGTCTTCTTCACATCCACCGAGGATGACGTGAACGCTCTCAAACGAGTACAATGGGTATATCTAGCTATTGGCATCTTTGTCTTCGTTCTTGCCGGCGTCTTCTTCATCTCCACCATCCCCGAAGTAACCGACCAAGACATGGCCTTCCAGGTAGCCGAAACGCACGTTGGCGAACAGGATAAACCATTCTGGAAACAGTATCGACTCTTCCACGCCACGTTAGCACAGTTCACTTATACCGGCGCCCAAGGTACGAAACCCCTTCTCCTTACGGGCCCTCTACACTACTACCAAAGCACTAACTCACTCCTACTTGCTCAATAGTTGCCATCGCAGGCTACTTCATCAACTACGTCGTCGAAACCTGGCCCGGAACCACCAGCGCCACCGGCTCGAAATACCTCGCCGGCGCACAAGGAGCCTTTGCAATGGGTCGATTCCTCGGCGCGATCATCATGAGATTCGTCAAAGCCCGCTGGGTATTTCTAGCCTATCTCTCACTGACTGTAGCATTCATCGCCGCATCCATAACCCAACGTGATCAGAAAGGCATAGGTACGTTTCATACCCACACCCCAAACCTACCCTACCCATCAATCAATCCACCCCAGTCAAAACAAAACCCCAAAAGGAAAGGAAAGAAACCCAACACCCTAACTAACACACCAAAAACATTATCTAGCAATGCTTTTCTGCACCCTCTTCTTCGAATCCGTCTGCTTCCCCACCATCGTCGCACTAGGTATCCGCGGCCTCGGCCGACACTACAAGCGCGGCTCGGGCTTCATTGTCGGCGGAGTATCCGGGGGTGCCGTCGTGCCTCCGATCCTGGGCCATGTAGCCGATATGCGGAATAGTACGGGCTTTGCGATGATCGTTCCGACGATGTTCATGGTTGTGGCGTGGACGTATGCCCTCGCGGTGAACTTTGTGCCGGCGTATCGGGATATGGTGGATAAGGTCGGGGAGAGTGAAATTGGGTTGAGAGATGAAGCTGCTAGTGTCAGTCCGAAGGATGTTGAAAGTGGTGGTGGTCGTGGGGATGAGTTGGCGGATATGGAGAAGGAGAAGGGAGAGGAAACTGCGAGGGAGGAATATACTACTACTAGTAAGTAGGTGGTTTCGGTATGAATGCAGTGGCTAGTAGGCGCTGCATAGGGTCATTTCACATTCGTCATGAAATCTCATGTTGCTTACGATCTCGTAAATGCTTTACTATTCTGCTTACTATAAATATTCATATACCCTTGATGCGAATGTGGGCATTAAAAGTGAAGTCTATTCTATCGAGAATTTAATCGGGCATATACACAACCCAGAATCAAAAAAGGCCGAGAGCGCGCAATGGACGGTGGACAGATCTAAACTGCGTTGATCACCGGGACTTGATCCTCGTGTCTGCCTCTGGGCACCGGCCTTGCGCGACGCCTCGTCCAACTAAGATCCAGAATTTGAGTATCTCAATGGGCAGCCGTATGTAGGGGATATCTCTAGAAACAAACAAGTGCAAGCAGGAAAGGTATGGAGACAATAGGGAAGGGGTGAACGATAAACGCAGAATAGGGTACACAGAAAGGAAATGCAAAATTGTGCATGATCCGATGTCCTGGTCAGAGAAGATAAGCTTCAAACAAGGTCTTCAAAGTAGATAGTATGAAGGAAGGGTAGAAGGGGAAGGGGGTAAAAATAAGGAGAACAAGAGGGATGGGATGGTATACAAACGCCTCCCAACTCGTCATCCGATCATTATTTTGCGCGCCGCATCATGAAGAAAAAAGGCTAGAAGAACAGAAGAGAAATCAATGTCCAAGAAATTTAAGCTCCTTATAGACGCAAAGAAAAGGGGTATAAATGTGTATGAGAAAACAATAAATCAAACAAGCCAACAATGTACCCAGCGAGCCTGTACTCTATGATTGCTGTCGCTTTTGTATTCGGGACTCTCCGTTTCCTAGACTCATGACTCCTAGGATACGGTGACACTGAAACTCCTGGGACACCGCATTCTAATCGGGTGTCACTCAATTAAGATGTATGGGGTGGGCGCGGAGTCGACTCGAGTTCTGCAGCAGGAGCTAGAGTCGGTTTGCCAGTTCGCCCGAAGGACGATCCCGCCAGATGTCCAGCGCCCGTATGGTCTTCCGAGGCAGTGGAGTCGACTGGCGAGCCTGGCCCTTCATCTAGGCCATCAAAAGTATCGACTTCTTCGATATCTTCCTCCATGTCCTCTTCCTCTTCTATTATTTGGCTTTTTCGTGTCCCAGATCGAGGTGCTGCTGCGACCGCAGGGCCTCCAATCCCTATGTCGCCATTTGGGTACTCAGTGCTCGTCATTCCACCCGATACCAACAGATTAGCTGTATGGACCATAGGCCCCTTAAACGCGGATCGTTTTCGACGTGCAAAGACGAGGCTTGACGAAGGGGAGTAGAGCAGTGGCGCTGGGGCTGCCTCGTTGAACATATTATTGATCCTCCCGTTAGGGTCATCAATGTCACGGAAACCGTTCTGCGTGCCTCGCACCAGACGGATATTACTGGGAAATCGTGCAGACGCACTTGGCGTCGTGGGAAGGACTTTGACTGATGTGTGAGGCGATTTCGAGATTCGAGCCGTTGGAGTAGACGCTGAACCAATACTATTTGAAGAAACGGACGATGCTTTAGAGTGGCTATGGGCATGATGGATGCTGCGGATGGAAGACACGGAAGATGAAGTGGACTTGCGACCACGCAGACCTGCGGAGGACCGCCGGTATGAACCTCTTGGGGTGATCGGAGATGGCGAGAGAGAGTTTCTCTGGCTAGTGCTCAAGGGACGATTGTGGCGAGGGTAGGAATGGCGGTTGTTCGGATAGGAAGCACTGCTCGGGGCTAAGCTGCTGGCATTCGACGAGCGCTTGATCTGTGTTGGCGTCAACAAGTCACCAGAGTGCGCGGTGGCCCCAGATGCCGAAGTGGGCTTCTTTCCAGTATCCTGGCCCTTGGCCGGGCTCAATTTCTCGGAGAGAAACTTGCGATGGCCTCCTTGACCCCCAGCCGCCTTGGCGTGAGGAGATTTGGCTCTCTTTGCAGACTCCACAAACCAGTGCTTCAACGAGGCCAATTGGCTTATTATCGGGTACTGGCGGCGACCGGTGCGGCGTCTAAAAATGCCATTGTTGTGCTGGGCCAATTCAGGCTGCGATGCGCTCACATGCAACGTGCTCGGCCGTCGTGCTTGATCCTTCGGTGGTGGTGGGGGACGCTGCCGGGTCGAACTAGCAGAACGAATGGAATCTTTGTCAATGGGGGGCGGAGGCGTGCTAGAATCTGGTGACTGCAGGGGTGTCGGTTCGGGAAGCATTGGCAGCTCTGGGACAGCAAGCTGAGAAGGAAGACTCCGTCTGTCTCGCCGTCCTCGCTCACGAAGATGAGTGTCTGCGGCGTGGCCCTCTTCGTCGACTTCCACAAGGGCGGCCGAGATCTTTTCCAGCCGACTGCTTGCTGCACTCAAGCGACGAATATTCTTTGCTTCCGCTTCACGCTCGCGTCGTTTACGCTCCCTCTTCTGCTCTTTTCGCTGCTCCTTTTCGATCAACAATGCCCACCAACCAGCGAGGGGGTCACAGCGTTGAGAGAGAACGCTCTCGACAACCTCATCGATGTTGACTCCTGCACTCTTCATGCGCTGCAGCGTGGTCCTCTCCAGAGGGGTCGAGAAGGCGGCTGGGCGCGGAATCTTGAGTATCGCCAACTGTTCGGGAGCATGCTCTGCAAGAAACGGATGGGCAAGGATCTCGTCCAGACTGGGTCGAATAAGGGGCCGCTTCGAAAGGAGTAGATTGATGAGGGCTTTGGCATCGTCAGGAAATTTATCGTTGAAAATTGCTTCTTCACCAAGAATCCGAGCCTTTGTTACTTGGTCGTCATCATCATCGAATGGCAACTCCCCAGCAAGCAGGGCGTAAAGAATGATACCCAAGCTCCAGACATCCACCTTCTCGCCAGCATACTTCTCGCCCTTGAGCATTTCGGGAGCGCTATAGCATACTGTTCCACAAAACGTCTGCAAGTAACTCGCCTTGCCTTCATATTCGCGAGTGAACCCGAAATCGCACAGCTTCACGTTCTCATGTTTGTCGAGTAAGATGTTCTCTAGCTTGAGATCACGGTGAACGCAAGATTTGCTATGGACATAAGCAACGGCTCCCACTAGTTGCGTGAAAATTCGCTTGACTTTGTCTACCGGTAACGGACCATGCCGAAGGAGATAGTTGTACAGCTCATCACCTGCTCGAGTGTGTTAGCGGTATCCTACTACATCTACAGCAGCATCTCGCCACGTACCCGGGCAGTACTCGAGAACAAGCCAAACCAGCTTTTCCGTCACAATGACTTCGTATAGGCGGGCGATGTGGGGATGGAGGAACTGGCGGTGATGATGGATCTCGCGTGCCAGATTTCGGTCTTCCTTACTCGAAGACTTGAGCACCACCTGCGCGCAATCCTGTCAGGTTTATCTGACACATAAATAGTGGGCTTTTTCATAGACGTACCTTGGAGCCATTAGTAAGCTTATGTGAAGCAAGATATACTTTGCCAAAGGAACCCTTCCCAATCAATCTCCCAAGCGTGTAGTTTCCTACAGTGCGAAGATCCTTCGAAGAGAATTCCCTATGAAGATGATTGTTGTTAGCATCCACGCTGAAAACGAAGGCGAGAAGGCGAGATTGGGGGGGTTTGCTTACTCCAGCAGTGCATTGTATGATTGAGCAAGCTGTTCATAGCGCGAGATCCCAGTCAGTAAAGCCATCTACCAACACATGAGAAAAAGGGTTTCGATCCTGGAACGGGGACGGGGTCGATAGAGCATGTTGCATGTGTCCCGAAAGAAAAGAGAGATGGCGGAGAATAGGACATGCGCATTGCAGAGGATCTTCTTCGACCTCCAAACTTAAAATCAAAAAGCCGAGACGCACCTTCTCTTTTTGTTTCTGGGCCTGGACCTCCGCTCTCGTCCTCGGAGGTGGCATGTGTTAAGATTATCTCCGCCTGCCTGGGGGAAGTCCGCGGAGATGGAGTATGCGTGTCTGAGATGGTTCTGTGCAGGATTGGAGTGGTACTAAGTTGTCAAGGGTGGCCATCCAACGTAGGGAGGAATATATAGAGAGCGAACCGAAGGCCGCTGTCGCTCCGGTTGTAAGGGGTGGGGGTTCCAGGAGATCGCAAATCGACGCCGACGTGGGTGAGAAGGAGTGGAAGGTATCAAGGAGGCGATTGTTCGGAACAGCCGATGAAATACAAGAGTATATGATGACGGTCTAATCTGTGACAAAAGGAATGAGGGGCGGATAGCTCGAATGAACTTTTGAGGCACGAGGGAACGTAGGACGGGCGCGCAAGTCGGTGATGGTAGCTATCTAGTAGCTAGTTGTCGGCAGGAGTGTGGAAAGCTCGGAACCGCAATAATTCGGAGAAGGAACGGGCAGAGTAGGGGAGGCCGATAAGGGATGATACACTAAGCTAGATAGTAACAGATCCAGCGGACGTTAGTGTTGTTTCAGGAAGGTATGTGGTTCTATAGCGACAAGCTGCAAACAAAGTGCGGGAGTGGATGAAGGAGAGAGAAGAGAAAGCGAGTGAGAGAGCGGGGGGGGGATGTTCTGGAAATGAAGGCAAACACATACCAGCCAGACAAACTCAGTAAGGTTGATGATGATTAGTTTAGTAGTAAGGCAGGGCCCGTAGCTTGAGGGGCAATCTGTACAGCGATGTGGAATGGAAACAATAAATCCGGGATTAGATGACGACAGATGCTGGGCAATTTCAATAAAGCAGCAGCCAAGCCAGCCAGCTAGCCAGCAGACAAGCAAGCGAGCAAAAGTAAAAAAGCACGCCTCAAATTCTCTAGCCAGCCGACCAGCAAGCGAGCAGGAAGTTGAGGGTGATGGAGGGGGGTAAGGAAAGGAAAGGAACGATGATAATAATAGTAGTCTTGGTAGTGGAAGTAGTAAGAGGAGGACTGGGTTAGGAGAGCCTGGCAAGGACGGAGTTTGGGGGGGGGGACTGACGACAGCCGGCAGGGGCGTGCATGAGCCCAGGGGAGAGAAAGAGGGAGGAGACTCACTATGTCTGTCTGTGTGGGTGGGTGGAGTGGAGTGGTCAGTGATGATGATTGTGATGATGATGAGCAGATAAAATTGTGGTCCTCAAAACAATATACTGGCTAATTAAAAATGAGTGTGATTGAACAAAGTATGAAATGTGACAATGATGCTGAAAGGAGTGTAAGAAGGATATTTACTAACAGTAACTATTCTACGTACACTGGAATGATTATTATTATTATTATTGTTTGTTTCTTTTCTCCCCTTCCTCCTTTCCCCATAAAAACCCCCGAAACCCATTTCCAACAATAATAGTACTTTTATTATTATTATGAAATGTCAAACCTACAATTTCTATTTCTATTTCTATTTTTCCCCTTCCATCTTCGCATTCCATACTAGTAATTTATTCACTGTTAATTAATTACTCTTAGCCGCCCGGCCACATTTTAGCCGGTGGGAACGTGGGCCGTTTCTGTCATTGCGTTCAGGCACCTTTTGAGACTGGCTTTGCATATCCTCAGAGGTATTACTATCTCATTTTCCATTACTATTTGTTCTTACCAAATTATATTATGGATTTCTTACTACGGAGTAATAAAATAAACTTACAATCCAGGAGAATTTAAGATTACTCCTGATCCTTCGAGATTTCTTCTTTCCTCAATAGTCAAAATAGTCCTCCCCCCTCTCCGATTAGCATAACTATGCAAAATACTCTGTACCGTTCTGTCCGCCGCTCCGAAGGGCCGATGTCATCGATCCCGGCCTTGCTTCCCGTTACAGGAAGGAAAAGAAGCAGTGATTGGGGACATATGTGGATCATAACATCATAACTACTAGTAGTAGCTAGCATCATTCATAACTACGTACTTACTGTAGTCTAGTCAGCCAGCAGCCCCTGAAATTCCCTAAGTTAACAGCCGTTTTCAATCAACATCGTCATCGCTTTTAGTCAACCTTGCGCGGCGGTCCCTAACTAATTAACTCCCGGCAAATCCGAACCCCCTGATTACTTTGACAGGTTAAGAATAAGTCGACACTTAAAGCTCTGATAGGGTCTTCGCTTATGACATGCCTCCCTAGTTTCCTCTGGTAAACGCCCCTACCACACGTATCTGGTATGGATTGTCCATCTTGTTTCACGGGCCTGTCACTTCAGAGATTGAATGAGTTGTCATAGAAGTACTGGAAATCAGTCATCACATCATACGATGACTGCATCACATCTGTGACATACTACTTCTAAAGGTCAAAATAACATGTTATGGGAAGGGGGGTTACCTTATCTACATAGTAAAGGCTAGAAGATACACATGTACAGTAACTTCAAGTTGGCTCATTACTGTCGTGTATATAAACAATCAATTCATTTAGCATGGTTGGGGTATATGACTGACAAGTTCCATCTCACCGAGACCCGAGACCCAAAGCTTCCGACCCTATTCAATTAACCCATCACTTCAAACCCCTTCTTTCCACCAAGGGAGAGACTGTAGTTGCTGCACGGCCCGATGGCTCATACACAGCGCTGGATCAACCCCATCTAACCCTTCCTCTCCCTGGAAAGCGAGGGCGACCATCCCAAAGTAGGAATGGAGGAGATCTGCAATGGTCAGTCAGCGAGGAAATTACCAGCCATTAATAACACCCCCAAGGGTACCAACCTGGTGGCTCGCCCACACCCTTTCCAAAACCGCCGATGATATGCTGCGTTTTCCCGAGAAGATATTGCCGATTCCGACTTGCGTCCACGAGGTCTAACCTATTCATCATCTGTCCACCAACGACCGGATCAGTAATGTCACTCTCTCACACAAATCGTGATTGCTTACATCTAATGTTGCCAGGTTCCAGAATGAGTAACATGTATCAGCATACTTATTACATCGCCCATTGAAGCCTGCACATCGTAGATCCTGTTCCGTTGGTGGCGGTATAGCGGGGAGCTTATCGAGGCTCTCATCTAAGCTTACTTCTTCAACAGCCTCCGGTACCGGTTTCGGAACCTCATTCACCTCAGGGCTGTTATCATCGTCTGAGTCTTCCTCGATGTCGCCGAGTTCTGTCGTTTGTCTGGCAACGAGCCAACGAACCAAGGACTCGAATTCGTTCGCGCCTGGCGAAAGGACTGGCGGTGGCTTCTGATCCTTTGCCATTCGACTCAAGAATGTCAAGGCGCCCATTGCGCAATACGTATGACCGGCTGCGGGGGTATACGAGTAAGCTGCCATTCTGTAACAATAACGGGGGGGCCAATTCTAAGCAGAGTGAGCAATTTGGATAGAACGTACAATGCGCTTCACAAAAGGGTGCTTCACCCATACCGCCATCATATGCCTGGAATAATGCATCTCAGCATATGTCACGTATCAGATTATACGGAGTCAAAGAGTGCAGGTCACTTACTTGACATGCCTGAACAAACGCGGCCAGCTTGTCCACATCAATGTCCTTGATGCCATCCACATCTGCCCCGCCATTCCCCCGCAGAATATACCGCGTGCCTGCCGCAAAGCAGCAAAAGCGGAGATCACCACCACCCTCAATCTTCCCTCCCGGACCCAGCACCTCTCCAAAGCTTCCATCATCACGCTGCATGCGCGGCAGCCATTGTAGACACTCCTTCCGCTTCACTCGTGATAAATCATCGCCCAGGATGATAAGGAGCTCCAGCGCAAAGAAGGTAGAGGGTACATTTGCCGGATCCCAAGCTTCATTATCCGATGTCCGATTCTCCGCGCCAAAATCCGTTCCGGTGAAGGCTCGAAATCCGCCCGTAGGAACCTGGCAGTGGTAGATCCAGTCGATGTAGCCTTGTCGCTCTTCGGGGGTGGTTTTGCTCTGCAAGACGCCGAGGAGGTCTAAGCCGGCGACCGTGAAAAAGGCGAGAAGCATGCGATTGGAGTCATTGGAGGTGTATAGGCTGGGAAGGAAGGTTTTGAGACATCGTAGGAAATACTTGATGTGTCGTTCTTTGGTAAAGGTGACTGGGACGTCGGTCATGATGTCAGTGCCCGCGATAATAATACCAACTTCTCCCGTGCGGAGCTCTGGCCATATAATGTAGGTTAGTATAGAGGTATAGAGAGTGTGCACCAGGAGAAAAAGGGGACAGGAGCCTCCTCCGAATAAGCCGACAAATTGCTTTTCTTTTGAGAGGGGGGTGGGCTTCCGCTAATTGTTGGTCTTGCGCATTCCCGGCCTGCTCTTCTCCATCTCGATCGGAGGCTGCCAAAAGTCCAGCCCCACTCGGCCGCCGGGGAAATCCAATTCTCGTTCCCCAATTCTAATCCCATCGGTCGAAACGATGTTTCTTGTTGTTCACAATTGAGACAGCTGCAGAGCTCAACCTTCCCGGATACTCTCTGCAACCCGGCCGTGATACATTAACGCATGTGTTACACCAGAAAATAATACTAGCTGGCTGCCCGTTACAGCCATTCAATCAATTCAGCATGGCTCTCCTTTCCTCCAAGACCTTGATCCAGGCACATGCCTTGTTCCTGTTTGTGCTGGCCGTGTACCTGACTAGGTCACCAGAGGTCGTGACCGAGTCTGACCTCGTCTTCATGCTGGGGGAGTTCTTGAATCTGGTATGTTTATGTTTATATCTTCACTCGGCCCCCTTGATACCCCCCGTCGGTTTACTAAATATCTCTCGTTCAATCAATTCAGGAGGCAACCCCTAGTATCTCCCGACCTCAATCCCCTTTCGCCCTATGTGGTGTCCTCCTCGTCGTCGATGCCCTGGTCGACCTCATTCTTGTGACCAAGGTCCCGCAAATTAACGAGATCCTGGCCATGGCTCAAGCCGCTAGAGTGCAATCCCCTATACCAGTGGCAGGGGCTGTACGCACGAACCCCTTCATGGCACGCTTGACCTCGCTTTACTCGGAGATCTGGACCCTCCTTTCCGCCGCTCGTTTCTGTATCTTCTTTGCTGTTTCCTTTTTCATATACCAGAGTCAACCATCGGCGTGGGGAATGGACGCCACTACCGGAATGGGGAACTACGGCACTGCCGGTGCCGCTACATCGGGTCTGGATCAGCTGAAAAACAGGGTGGTATTCACATATGGCTTTATGGAAATGATGTTTTGGTTATGGGTAAGCTTTTCCCCCGCCCCCACGATTGCTCCCCAGAGAAAGCTCTGGCGGGTATGCCAGTGTCATGATTTGCTGACAATTGATAGATCTTCATCACCCTCAGGGAAGAGCGACAGGAAGCAGCTAACCGGTTCGTGGAACAGGACCGGTAGACGAATTCATGCAGTCGGCATGACCGTCGCACTACTGAGTATACATCTCTATTTGTAGGCAATACAGTGACCTCTGCGGCAAAAGACACTGTGACCTTTGATTCCGACCCTATCATACAAACTAATAAGCATATTACAGTTAAGTGCGCTGGTCCAGTTCAATTTAGCCAGCCTTCGTGAAAGGCGACTATTTGTAGGACACTATTCTGCCGCCCTGAACATAGGACAGAACCACTTTTGCTCTCAATGATCATCACTCGTAGCACCATCAGGTGACCCGTTGTCCGGTGCCCTCTAAAGAAGCAATGCATAAAAGGCTGCCCCGAGGATCGCAGCAAGGCCAGCACTGCTATCTCCCAGAATAATACCAGCCGCACTGCTAGCAGTCGCATTGCTTGCGGCATTCTTATCAGTTGCAGTAGCGCCCTGCGTTTTCACAGACTGAGTGTTGCTTCCCGTTTTGGTAGCATTCGCCGCACTGGCAGAGCTGGATGAGTCGAGGCGGGTTCCGTTAGCTGCACCAGTCGAGGTAGTAGTCGCAGAAGCACCAGTCGTTGTGCCCGTGGTCTGCAAAGTAGCACTCGCGGTGTTTCCACTTGTGCAACTGGCGCTTTGGGGGAGATCAGTTACGCCGGCGCCACCGCAGATCTGCTGTGCGAAATTGAGGGCAGCTGGAACACGATTGACCCATTAGAAGCCGTCATTATAGCCGAGCCGACGCCATGTACCACATGGCCAGATAAGGGGTGAGGATATTGGGAGAGGAAGATTGGACATACAGGTCTGATCCTCTGCAGAGCACGTAGAAGCAACGCAGCAGGAAATACCAGTGATGAAGGACTTGTCGGAGCAGATGCAGTTCACATCAATGGCCTTGCAAGTTTTGGGGATAGAACCGGTGGCGCAGTCTCTCTGGGATCGGTTCAGCTACATAGAACCAGCAATACTCAGGCAGACAAGTTGTCGTAACTGGGACTTACCGCGCAGGGTGGAAGGCTGTCCATCCCCTGGCCAGCTACCAAGCCCAGGCCAGCGAAAAGAGCCAAGCTAACGTGGTAGAGCTTCATCATGTCTTTGGAGTTTGACTAGCGGGTTATGAAATGGGATAGGGAGATGTTGGTTGATGGAAAGACGATTGGGGTTAGAAACGAGGGGAGAATAAAGTGGGAGAAGAGAAGGGGAGAAGAAGCAAGAAGTAGACAAAGTGCTGGAAGTGGAGGGAATGTGACACATGAATCAAGTGAAGAAGGAACGATTGGGGTCTAGCCAACAGTATTCACCTCACTTCCTGGCTTGGAAGGCACTCCAGAAGTGATCCATGGCCAAGAGGTCTGTCTTAGTATGAGTTTGTTGTGTATTTGAAGCTCCTTGCCTTTGGAGTCTCTAGCTAGAACCACTACCAATTACTGCTACATTATCTATATCGATGAAACCCGTCCAAGGAAAGAGCTCCTAGTTCATCAAAAAGTGAGGATTTCCGTTGTTATGCTCATCATGTGAGGAGATAATTAATAGGATACTTGGAACGAATTCAAGGGCTATCTATAATTTTAGGTTGTACCTAAGCGGGCCCCAGAAAGTATCCCTGGTGGGTTTTGCTCCGATGGCGGATGGCCAATCCGCTTGTTATACATAATGACAACACTGGACATTGTACTACTTCATACGTACTGCTAGGTTGCTGCCCATGCCATTGACTGGCAGCAGAGAATAAGGGAGGTGACCAAATGGATAAGGAAAACAATGGTCCATGAGACCATTGTCGGAACCCTGGAGGAATGTAGTTATGCATGCCAGTGCAACGAAGTAACCACTGAAGTTGGACAGAAACAAGATATCTATCTACTCATGTGTCTAAAGTACGAGCCACCTCCAGGAGGGGAGGAGTCCACTTTGCCCGCCACTAGAAAGGTAGTCTAACGGATGGCCCAATCGTGTATGAAGATCCCCCGAGCCAATTGTTGATCTTCCAGCCAGGGTTACTTGTTAAGTTGGAGATTTCAGCTGGACTTGTCAAACTTTCGAGGCCCCAACATGCACTCAGTGTTCATTTCAGGTGGTCTTCTGGCCCTGATCAGTATCCCTTGCATTTAAAACCGGGTGGGCATCGGGGCCATGTCTCAGTCTTGAAATGAATGTCTCCCCATTTGCTTGCAGCCTCGGATTATGCATGCATGCATGAGCAGCCGAGGAGGGCTTCGATGTGAACATGGCTGATCACTGCGGAAGGATTGTGTGGCGCTTATTAGCCATTATAAAGTTTCTCTCAGCGTACATCTTGTAAGGTGTAGGCTTGATTCGACCTCCAAGAATTTGCAAGATGTGCTAGTGTCTCTCTGTGTATCACCCTGATGTCCAATGAGACAAAATTACACATGATTGGTATGAGGTTTTAGGTACGATAGACTTGCCGTGTCTGATAAATGAGTTATCCCTTTGAGTTACACTACCTCATCCGATCGACATCCTCCAGACAAGTACTTTCAGAAAGATGATCAGAAGGCTGGGGTCCACGATCCAATTTTGGGTCTGGCTGCCTCCGTTGAAAATAGAGTACTAGACTAGTTCGTTCTTTCATAGCCAGTAGTAAATTCACCAGGGGCATCCTGACCCGCGCCCACCAATTCGGTTCTTGATGATATACACGAACTAGGGTTCGAAATTATTCATTACTACCACCGCCCTTGCAGAACGAGAATGTCCGCTCGGGACACCCATCATTTTACGAATTTCTGGAAGGCAGAAATTCCCCGCAAACTGTATTCCCTCGTCTAGGAATACTTCAATTGTGAACACTTTGCATGACGACTTCCCCGCGTGATCCTCGTGGGACCTTGATTTCGCCTTCCAGAGTCCCCAGCCGGAGAAGTCTAGGCGTCCGACCATCAACAATAGGCTTCCTTGTACTATCTTTCGGTTGATTCCACCTTAGCCAGTGACTGTTCGCTCTAGTTTCTTATTGTATCTGCCTGGCTACGAATAAATAATACCATGGGGCTTGGCGTGTTGGATACCAAGCGCCCTCATGTACCAGGTAGGAGCCATCTCATGCAACAACCATGCTTGTCTCTGCAGTATACACTGAACACTACTTTCGAATAGGGACCACGGACATACTTGAGCGAGAACACTCCAACAATGAGCCGGTCATCGACTCAAATTTAAAATACGATCGGTCGGGCTCTGTACCCATCCTACTTGTCCCTCAGCCAAGCAATGATCCCAACGATCCATTGGTGTGTTGAAGTCACTCTTGAGAAGCTACGAGCTACATGGGCAATAGCTGACAATCTCGAAACAAGAACTGGCCACTCTGGAAGCGCGATGTCACGCTTCTGGTTCTGTCTTTTGTCGCGGTGCTGTGCGCAACGACAAGCTCGCTGATGGCTGCCAACACCGTAACAATTGCTCTTTACTATGGCAAGAGCTTCACCTCAGTCGCGCTTCTAACTGGGTACCATCTCTGTGGTGTTGGAGTGGCTGGGATCTTGATTGTACCTACAGCACGAGTTTGGGGAAAGCGTCACCTCTTCCTGCTCGGAAATGCCTTGATGGTGGTGAGCTGTGCCTGGGCTGGGGGCAGTAAGCACAACTACCAGAGTCTGTTATGGGCTCGTATTTTCCAGGGGATTGCTCTTGCTCCATTCGAAGCTCTGGTCAATGCATGTGTCGGTGACTTGTTCTACGTGCACGTGAGTATAAACCGCATCTCACGGACCTCACAAACACATGCTGATCAAGCAAACAGGAACGAGGCAAAAGGATGGCACTGTCCAACGTTGCTCTCTTCGGTGCCGCCTTTCTTACGCCAGTACTGGCGGGCAAGATTACACATACCCTTGGATGGGACTGGACCTTCTACCTTGTAGCCATTTTCGCGGCGGCAGCACTACCCCTCACATTCTTCTTTGTCCCCGAGACAGCTTTCAAGCGACCGGACTACTTGAACGCTGACTTTGAATATGCCAACGATCGCTCCACCTCGGAAGTCCAGCTCAATGATATCACAACGTCGGAGGTTACTCCAGGGCCCGACAATCAAAAGCAGACCCCATCCGCAGTCGAGCATCACCAACCTACGTCCTCACAAGAGCTACCCCGAAAGAGAGAGTCAGAAACACCAGCCAAGGTGTCCTACCTCCAAACCCTCACGCCCTTCAATGGACGCAAAACCGACGAGAGCTTCTTCAAGCTCCTCTTACGGCCCTTTCCCTTATTCTTCCACCCCGCAATCCTTTGGGTAAGCCATGCCGCATAAAGCCTCATCAAGCCACAAGCCCACGTTTTAACCATCATACCAGGCATGTTTGATCCAAGGCGTAATCATCGGATGGACCGTATTCATCGGTGTCGTCCTAGCCGCCATATTCCTCGGCCCACCCCTATGGTTCAACGAGGTGCAAACCGGGTACCTGTACACGGGGGCCTTCATCGGTTCCATACTGGGTCTGATCCTATCGGGCCTTCTCTCCGATTCGATGAACCGCATCATGATTAAACTCAACCGAGGGAAGTACGAGCCGGAGTTCCGCATCCTCCTTGTGATCTTCCAGTTGATCTTCTGCGGCGCCGGGCTGTATGGGTTTGGTATCATCGCTGAGGATGTCGCGCGATATGGTTGGCTGGTGGCGGACGTGTTCTTCGCTCTGGTTATTATAGGCATGGTGATGGGCGCTGTCGCGAGTGCGCTGTACATTGTCGATGCACATCGTAAGTATAGCTGCCAGATGCGGGATTTGTTATGGTTCAAAGCTGACGCTTCCAACAGGCGAGATTGCCATCGAGTCTTTTACATGCATGCTGGTGTTCAAGAACATGTTCAGCTTTGTGTTGACGTTCTATGCCTATGACTGGCTGCTGCTGAATGGCATCAGGCCGGCTTTCCTGGCCATCTCTAGCATTCAGATGGGAGTCTGTGCCTTGAGCATTCCGATGTGTAGGTGTTTCTTGCTGTTACCCCTACTCGCCCGGGGATGGACTAACGTGTTTTTTTTTTCCTTTAGATATTTTCGGTAAATGGAATCGCTCATTCTTCAGCCGCCATGATATTCTGAAGATGCTGCACTTGCGGTGAAGATACACGATCTACGGATGATGATCTTTGATTATTTGCTTTTCTTTTCTCCCTTGTTAAAGAATACCCCTCACTGGATTTGACAATAACTTTCAGCGATCACAACTATATACATTTTTAGCTCGACTCCAAGTTTAGAAGAAAAAAGAAAACAAAAGTAAACAAAACAATACCCGAAGACTCCCGAGGCTGGAAGGACTCGTCCC